TCGAAGATAATCGAGGTATGTCTCGGCTGGAGTAGAACTCACGCGCGGCCACCCAGATGTCGTGCACGGTTTCATACAACAAGAAATTCTCTCCAATCTCTGTTGTCATTGAGTTGACCAACCAAAACATTACAAGGTTGCTTTTGGCCTTCCATGAACGAGTTCCTGGATCATCCACTGGTGGTTGAACGGCTTCTCCCGTAAGCTTTTCATCTCTACTCTTCCCTCGGATGAACATGAGTACAGACGATGACCATTGGAGATAATTGCTCACATTCAGTTTGTGTCTAGTGACAAATGAAGGTGTCTGATCAACGTGAGAATGGTTGATAGGCATTGAATTATAAGAACCTGAAATAACTTCAGGAGGAGAGGAGTTTTGCTCATCCATGGCCATTTCGGCTTAAGTTGGATGATGAATGATTATGGATCAGAGTTGCTGCTCTGATACTATGAAGAAATAAAGAAAGAGGGTTTGTGATAAGAGGAGAATTCCTCTGATTTTCCTTGTGATTACATGGGCACAAATGTACCATTATATAGGCCATCGGCTAGGACAAAAAACCGTTAAAAAGATACTAACAAAATAGCTAAAAATGGTGGAGAAAAATACCCAACTGTCCTAACATTATCAGTTGTCCTAACAACCTGAGAAAAGATTAAGTTGCCCCTAATGTAAGTATACATGTATATATATATACATTTCCTACATATGTACATTCTACACATATCATAGACTCTGAAGAGAGAATTCTCAATTCACCAAATACTCTTTATAGACGCATTCTTTCACATATACCATATGCTAAATCTCTAAACTCAGCCTCAATACTACTTCTTAATACCACAAACTGCTTGTTGCTTCTCCAAGTAACTAAATTTCTCTAAACATATATACAGTATTCAGATATGAATCTTCTATCAGTTATAAAATTATCCCAATCTGCAATATATACTTTAATTTCTTAGCTTCCGTTTTTCTTAAAAAATAGTCTCTGCTCAGCTATCATTTTTAGATACTTGAAAATATGAAATACTGTCTCCATAAGTTTTTCAGTTGGGTTATTTATGATTAACTCATCACATTGATTGCAAATTGATATCTGGTCTAATATGTGAGAGGTGAATCAATTTACTCATTAAATGTTGGTATCTTTCTTTGTTAACTGGAGCACTATCAATTTAACTTCTCAGTTCAATGTTGGGATCCATGTGTGTCTGTGCGCTTGCTTCCAAGTATTATTGTCTTTTAGAAGACCTAACACATATTTTGTTGAGAAACCAAAATTCCTCCTTGACATAACAATGTCCATTCCCAAAAAATATTTTAGATTTCCTACATCTTTAATTTCAAATTTTTAAGCTAAAATTTTTTTAAATTTGAGTATCTACTCTATTTCATCCCTTGCAATTAATATATTATCTACATATACGATGAGGGTTTTCTTTTTTTCTGAAGGATCATGCTTAACAAACATAATATGATCTATTTGGCATTGATTATACCCAATTCTCTTAACTGCGTTAGTAAATTTTTCAAACCATGCTATTGGAGATTGTTCGAATCCATATAGGGACTTTTTCAATCAACAGACTTTTCTATTAGTGACTTAACTTTCAAAATTTGACGTCATCTCCATATAGGCTTCTTCCTCTAGTTCTCCATTAGAAAAAGCATCCTTCACATCTGGTTGGAATAGTGGCTAATCCAGATTGGCAACTAGAGACATTAGTATTTGAAGTGTGTTAAGCTTTACTACTGATATAAATGTCTCTAGATAATCGATTTCATAGAACTGAGTAAAATCTTTATCTACTAATCAAGCTTTAAACCTATTGATACTACCATCAGCATTCTACTTGATTGTGAACACCCATTTGCAGCCACCTAGGTTTTTCCCAGGTGGTAATTCTGCTATTCCCAAGTTTCGTTTTTTTATAAGGCTTGGATTTTCTACATGATTGCAGTTTTTCATTCGGTTACTTTTAGTGCTTCATGTATCGTTCTTGGTATCTGTACTTTGTCAATATTACTAACAAATGTCTGGTGAGTTAATGAAAGTCACATTTTCTTATACTTGCATAAGACATTCTTGTACCCAAACCTTATAGCACCATTTGAAAAAATTCTTGAATCATTTTTGGAGCTATAATTGATTACCTATACCATAGGCAAACACCATAATGGTAAGATCACTATCCTCACTATACATAATTGTGTCAAGAATAGATAACAAAGTTGAAGAAATATCAAGTTAATGAATTTGAGAAAGCACTTGACAAGCTACAGTACTTCCTTGATATGAAGGTTGCCAAATGGAAAAAGGCATCTTTATGTCCCAAAGAAAACATCTTCAGTTACTTGAAGGGAATGGTCTATTGGGGTACAAACCTACTGGTTCTCTGATCCTTTTATTGAGGCTAATGTCCATCTTCGACATACAATATATACATATATTATATTGTAACTCTGGTGTCCAACCATTAGATCAATGGAAGATGGACGATTTCTGAACACATATGAAACAACATATAAGAAATATTAAGAGTTTGCATATGATATGAATATCTGATTCAGAATGCGAAGTGGAAAAAATGTGAGTTAAAGCACCCTTAGAGAACCATTAAGTAAATACTCATAGATATCTAAATATTTTTTACCATACAAACCAGAAGCAGAAGCCTTATACTCTCCCTTCTAGCCATATGACAAGAATTCTACTTTCAACTATAGCAGTAAAAACACTAGAGCCATACACAGAGAACTTTATGTCATAACCACCTGTCAAATGCGATACCACTCAGTTGTCCTTTGGCAATTTCATTATCCATTTTCTCATCCCAAAACTGCGTTCCAGCCTGCATGAACAAAATGAATACGAGGAAATGCTGCTATTCTAGAAGCTTACACTATATAATGAAGTACAAAGTTTTTCACGTAGGGATTAAAATTCAAAACATCATTGGAGAAAATAAAATGTATAAATCATTAATGCCTGATCAAAAAGTAAAAGATAATTTCTGAAATTTAGAGAGAAACTGATATCTTCATATATTGAGAATGAGCATATACATGGATATATAAAGCTGTTATAAATAGAAAAAATAGAAAACTGATTTCAGCAAATCAAATTCCATATCAATGGGATTCCCTAACCAGTAACCCATGTTTTTAGGAAGATTAATTCCTAATATTGAGACAGAATATTAAAGGATTTTCCAAGGATTTCCCTTTCAAAGTGGTGAATATGCATATTTCATTCTCAGCTTGGGGGAAAGTCCCTAGAATGTCACAGTACTGAGTCCTCTTGTTAGCACATCTGCAAGTGGATCATTAATTCACATATAGGGTACAAATTAACCCCCTATCCAACTTTTCCTTTATGAAATGTCTATTAACTTCAATGTGCTTCATTTTGTCATATTCCGCAGGATTGTGGGAAATATTAATGATAAACCTGATTATGAGGAAGCAGTTTGCTGCTCATAACAAATACTGAAAACAACAAAAAAGAGAAAAACTCTCCTTTACAGAAATACTAGGAAACAGCTAAGGGAAGTGAATCTCATTTGATCACAACAGTCCAACTAGTCTCTGTTTCACCCATCAGGAAAGTGTTCTATCATTTTTTTTCCAAAACGAAAAGGCATAAATTTGACCAATTCCACACCAGTATCTTCCTTATTAGACACTGGTTTTGTATTTGAACCCATCACAGAGCTGAAACAAATATAGTCATGACATAATGTTAGCGACAAGTTGCAATAAGTCGTCAAATCAATTAAAGGTACATTTTGAACTGGTTTTTCAGCCTTTGTTTGTGAAGTGTCAGGGAAAAAAAACCAAAACAACTTATATAGACAAAATACAGACAAGATAAACATGAAAAGAAGTACAAAGGAGTACCTGCCCTTGAATGCCCATCTGCATTGCAACAATTGGGTCTAAAATCACCCCTCGAATTGGACAACCCATAAGATATGCTACAAAATATATCAAGAATGAAAATTTATGTTGGTAAGAACAAAAAAATATATATTCTTTATTCTAAATTATTGATTTAATTATGAGAAACTGTTGTGCTTAATACAAAACAAATTCAAAGCACCATTAAAGAAGTGCTAGGATGATTTTCGATCAATCTTATGTTTGATATTCATTTAAGATGATGATTTTTGGATGTGGGTGAATAATCCTCTAATTAGAATCTAATGGAAGGAGGCAGGATAAATTATCCTGTTCAAAGAAGATGAACATATCTACTGTGTTCATACCTACCAACAAATGACCTGCTTCATGAACTAGGATCCTTCGTTTATACGGAGGCCAATAACTAGAAATTTGAGCTAAACAGCTACCACCAAGGAAAATGGAATCTACAATGGCTAGCCCTAATATTGCTGCAAGGTTAGGCCTTATATCAATTCCATGAGAAAGAAGAAAAGACACTCCAGCCAGAAAAGCAGCCAGTATAATGCTCGAGCTTCCAGAAAGACCCCACTTCTTAGGAGAAAGTTTAGACACTGAAAGAAGAAAGGAAGGAAAGATTAAAATGACACTCCTCAAAGGGATTTAGAATTTTCACTTATACAAGTCAAAGCAGTAAGATAAAATCATTGAACAAAAAATCAAAAAGATCAAAGTATGGTTAAAAATATTTACAAGTACCTTCTAGACCAGTTGAAGACTTCAGAACAGTCGGTGTAACGTCTCTAGGTCCCTCCAAAACTGTGGTAGGCATGGAGAAGGAAAATGTCTAAGCGAAATTAAGGAATGAAGTAATAAAATGGACCTCATAAAAATGGAGCTATCATTTTCAGATAAGAAACCATTTGAAGTGATTGCAAAACATGTAGTTAGCTTTAGATGAGTATATTATAACAACAACTATACTAATGCTCCAAGTTTGCAGGCTGAATCATGCTTTGTCCCCAAGGATATGTATGATGTGTTCTCATGTTGGCGAGTCTCACAACCATCTTTCTTTTTATATGGCCTGCACACTTTTTACTCTGATTTATTCAACACTTTCAGTGTTTCCTAGGTTCCTCCCCAAAACCTTAAGAGCTTCGATTACATTTTTCTTTTTTTTTTTTTTTTTTGCAATATTGGGTAGAAAAAAAAAAAAAGTTAGGTCTCTTATGAGATGCACTTTTTTACTAAGTTATAGTTGTGTTTGGAGAAAAATGCTAAGACCCTTGAGGTTTCTTTTCTTTTTTCTATTTTTGGTTTCTGTGGGATAGGTTAACTTTTTTAGCCTCTTTGGCTAACATGCATGGCCTTTACAAAAGATTTATTCGTCTATTTTACATAGAGATTAGCTGGCTATCCTTGCTCTATTTTCATTTTGGCTTTTATGCTTTTTCACCTTTTCGGAAGGATAACTAATTCTCCTGTTATGTGCTTTTGGTTTTCTCTCTAATAATTTTTCTTTTTCTATCAAAAGGAACAAAGACACTATTATAATTCTAAAGGTAAGTCAAGGAAATTATCATTGAGATGCACATATATTAGCAAAGGTACTTTATAACCAAAGTTAGCAAATAGGTGAATGCCAAGATGTGAAGACCAAAAATATTTAACTCATAATTCAACAGCTGCAAGATGACATCTAATGTTAGAATGACAAGATAATCAACAGGTGTACCTGATTCTTATTTCAAGTACAAAGCTACGTTTACAGGAGGCTGAAGGGATGTGAAGGAGCAAGTGGTTGAATATTTAACCTTGTTAGGACGGTATTTAAATAACAAAGCAGAAAGAGAACGAGGCAAATATTTCACCCAAGTTCCCTCCAGATGATAAAGCTCTTCTTCCCAAAACTAGAGGGTGAATGGGAAGTAACTGGGAGTCAAATATTATT